TGTCGTAAATACCACAAATATAATTTTAATCTACAGTGTGCTTCTTACATATTAAGAGGGGTGTTTAAATGTAATGCTAATGCTTTTTACTTCTCTTTTTTGTCTGATTTCACCAGTAATGAATATAATTTTCAAAAATATTTTACAGCAATTAAAAGTTAAACTTCTTAAAGATAAAAAAATAAAAACTCATAAAAAGTAAACTCTCATTTCTTGATATGTATTCCTTCAATTTGGACCCTAAAAAAAGCGAAAAATAGTGTCTTATTAATCTGAATTTATATGCTGCTGTGAGACGTCATTTTTGTCTCTACAATGTTAATCTATTTTTTTTTCTTATTTTGGCATCTATTTTTTAAATTCTTTTTCTCATTCTATACTAAATATTTTCGAGTTAATGTGTAAAAAATAAATTAGGAACATGTAAAATTATATATTCTATATTAAGACTTTTTATAAAAATCTGAAATTGTTTTTTCTGATACTGAATAAAATTTGATATTAAATTTAATTAAATATTTTAATTAAACTTCTAGTATCTGTATTTAAATAACAGACCAAAGTTTTATGGAATAAAAGTACTCAACACCTACATAACATAGGATATTTTTAGTAGTCCTTATTAAAAGATAAGAACAATTACTCAAATAAATTGGATACTTATATATTTTTAATATAATTCCAATTAATTGTATGTGGAGTTAATTAAGTAATTAAAATGGCTGAATTATACACGATTAATAATTGTGTAAGACTAATTAATACTAAGATTTTGATATATAATAACTTTTTATTCCAAGAATAATTATAGCATATAATTAAAATTATTTGTGACTTTTAAAATTAGTTTGTAACATTATTACCAAGGGAAGATTGAAGAGAAAATTTGTAAAATGATCGCTGCATTTTTTTTGGTGGGGGAACACATTTTCTTCGTAATGAAGATTAGATTATTTTTGCACGATTTCTATATTTTCTCAGTTTTAATTATTCTAAAAATAATACCTTACTTTATATATAATAGATGAATTAAAATTTTTAGTAATTCTTTTAGTAATAAATCGAGAGTATATTTTTGACTAGTATTCGAATTTTAGTTTTAAATAATAATTAAATTAATGATTTTATAACAATGTATAACCACAAAGTGGTAAAATATTTTGTAACATTATACTTCAGTATTATTTCATGAGCATCAGGAGGTTTAAAATAGCATACTTCATTCAAAACAAGTAATTAATTGATAATTATTCTTTCATAGAGTTGAAGAAATGTGAAGATAAAATAAAAGCTTAATTTTCAATCATTAATAAAATACTATCTAATCATCCATTTAAGTTCAAATACATTTTTTTAAACTTGTAGGGGATGACACTGGATGTTAATGCAGTTTTTTTTCCAAATATTAAAATATTATATTAATTCATTAATCTATTTTATTTCTTAATTTTAAATTTACTCTGAAATATTTCTGTTGAAGTTGCAACTCTCTAAAACAGATGTATTCGGTGCGTTTTTCTTAACACAGCAGGAATTGACTTTATTTTATATATATAAATATATATATATATATATATATATATATATATATATATATATATATATATATATATATATATATATATATATATAAAGTTCATGTTAAAGAAATATTTAAAATTATTTGCGGCAGATTGACAGAAGAAATGATGTGTTTTATTTCAAAATGATTTTCGTCGTTATATATCTTAACTTATTTATACACGGTTATTCATAATATCCTCCAAAGTTTCGGAGAGTTGCAGTAAAAAAACAAAGACGAATAAAATAAAAAATAATACATAAAAGAATACTGAAAGTATTCAAGTTTTATTTATATACACTGGCCTCAAAAAGTTAAGGTACAACATGTTTTTCGAAGCTCACCATAAAAAAAATGGCAGTAACAATAAAATGCATAGTTTACATGAATGATAATAACGAACTTTAAAAACATTAATGCAAAAACGATTGCTACAACTTTTATTTTATAGAAAAGAACGTATATTTATGAGTGAGAGAAAAATATGCAAATATCAAGCTTTCGTACTTTTGTGTGTAAGTTGTGTTGATTTTCAACAGTTGTTGGCAGTTTCGGTGACAATAGTCAATAGAGTTTAGAAAATGTCTCAGAGACGTCGTTTACCCAATTCGTTAAGGTGGCGGGCAGTTGGATGAATGGAAATGGGATTGTCGCAGGCTGATGCTGCTAGACGTCTCAATGTGTCTCGTAGTGTTGTTCAGCGACTTTGGGATCAATACCAATCCGAAGATTCTGTGTCCAGAAGACCTGTTCCAGGCCGACCACCAGCTACAACACCTGCAGAAGACCGTTTTCTAGCTCTTTCGGCACGAAGGAGAAGAACCACTACTGTGCCGCAGCTCGTTGCAGACCACTTTCAAGCGTCAGGAAGAAGAATCTCCGCTACTACGGTGCGAAATCGTATTCTCAATGCAGGTCTGTATGCAAGAAGACCAGTTGTGTGCGTTCCCCTCAACGGACGACAGCGAAGGAACCGCTTATGCTGGGCAAGAGAACATGTTTCTTGGACACAGCAACAATGGGCTTCTGTGCTGTTCACAGACGAGTCAAGATTTACAATGGAGAGTGATTCAGGGCGTCTACTGATCTGGAGGGAACAGCGCACTAGATACCATCAATCCATCACTGTTGAAAGACACATTTATAGAGGTGGTGGAATCCTGGTTTGGGCAGGGATCTCGCTCGGTGGCCACACTGACCTGCATGTGTTCCATGGAGGAACCGTAACTGGTCTTAGATATCGGGATGAGACCCTTGATCCATATGTCCGCCCATATGCTGCTGCTATTGGTAACGACTTCATTCTGATGGATGATAATGCACGACCTCACCGAGCTCGGATTGTTGAGGAGTACCTGGAGGATCACGGTTTGGAACGAATGGAATGGCCAGCTCGATCTCCAGACCTGAATCCGATAGAACATCTTTGGGACTATCTTGGCAGAGAGATTGCTGCCTTAAATCCTCCTCAAGGTCGTTACATGAGCTGAAACAAGGCTTACTCTGTGTCTGGTCTTCGCTTCCTATTCCGGTGTCCGACAACTTAATAAACAGCATGGGAAATCGATGCCGCCAATGCATTCAAGTTAGGGGTGGACACATTCCTTATTAGAACCCATTTTTGTATTGTTTTTATGCCATTTTACCACATAACACTGTGATGTGCTGTTTTCTCCAAGAAAGGACTTTTCCGCAGAGATTGCTTTTTTGTTATAAATCGTTTTTGCAATACACTTATACAAATTTCTATGACGCATTCAATAAAAAACTATTTAATGCACATATCCTCCAAAATTTTGTTTCTACATTCATTCATTTGCAAATTAGACACAAAAACCCGGTTGTACCTTAACTTTTTGAGGCCAGTGTATTTTACAAGCGTTCTATATGCATACCCTTGGTCACACGGCATACAGTAATGCCATAGTCCAGTGCCTACCTCACTCTAGTCAAGATAGTGTTATTTACATTATTGATAGCACGTCTTATCCTTTCGTGCAAATGTGCCACATCACACGGGAAAAGAGGTACGAAAACTTAAATTTTATGTATGGATATTAAAGAAAGGATAACACTGTCTGTAACGTTGATAGTACTATGTTAAGTAGTGTGCTATAAACTCTTAATTATCGAGTTGATGTACGCCGTGTGACTAAGGGTTCACATTCAGAGCACTTTAGAGTCATCACCGGAAATGATTAACTGCAGGCTCACCTGTTTAAGATTGGCCTGGTTGATTCACCGCTCTTCCATCTCCGTAAATCTGAGCCAGTGATTGAGGAGCATCTATTTGATTGCTCCTCTCTACTCCATGTTCTCTCGCAAAACATTTAAGGAGTAATCCTTTCTGTTAGCGAAACATCTGCATTATACTAGATGGCAAGACACGTTATATCCGAGACTACATTGGCGGATGTAATTTGAACATACAGAGCACCTGTAAAATATGAAGTTAAAGATAGAATTTTTCTGTATTCTTTCATATGTTCTTATTTGTCGCATTCGTCTTAAATTTTTTAGAACTACACCTCAGACAAAATTATAAATAACCTTGTATTACATTTTAGAAATTTTCCCCCAAAAGGCTGTATACTAGCAACTAAGCTTTTGAAGACACGGCAATTTTCCAAACGTGAAGTCATTTTATTGGTGGCACCATCTAAGGTGGCTTCCGCTACCAAATTGTGACGTTTGAATTTTATTCAGGCCAAATATTCCCGTGATTTAACTTTGCCGAGAGTACCAGAGCCAAATTGATACTCAAGGGATTTTTTGCCTGCCACATAAAATATGACATGCGTGTTTCCGATTTTCGCATCCAGAAAATCTATCGACTCCAGCCAGGGTCGAACAAGAAACCTTAGGTTTATAAAAAGGGTACGATACATTTAAGCTAACGGAACCGACATATTTTAGTAATCGACATCACTTACGTACGTTTTTTATTCAATTACTAATATTAGTTCCCTCGCTTTCTCTCTCTCTCTATTTATATATGTATAAATTATTTTGTACATCAGCTGTTCTATGTCAGCAATGTTTATAATACTGAGGCATTCATTTTTTAATTTTTAATTTCGATTGTTCATGCGTCCTTCATTGTAAGATTTCCTTACTGTGTATCTGTGTTTTCCGATTATCTCTCGTTTGTAGAGAATTAGACTATATATATATATATATATATACATAAAATATATCTTGTTCAAATTTTCAATCGTTAATCAAGTACTTTCTATTCATTCATTCAAGTTTAAATACATTTTTTCTTACTTCTAGTAGATGGCACTTGATGTTAATACAGTTTCTTTTTCAAATACTAATTCATGAAATCTATTTAATTAATCAATAAGTAGTAACAAAGAAATATAAGAGCTCAACAGTACAATAGTCTCCTATAAGAAAAATAATAGTCCATATAAAAACGAAAATCACTCGTTGAGTCCTTGTAGCGCAACGGAAAGCGCGTTGGACTTCTATTCCAAAAGTGGTGGGTTCGAATCGCACTTGGGATGAACAAATTTCTGAGAAAGTGGTTTCTTTTTTACTACACTATTTTACCAGAATAATTAAATTTAGTTAATTAATAAATAGGAAAAAAACCAAAACTCAATAGTCCAACACGCTATATAGAAAGGAAAATGGAAAATTACATGGAAAATCGCTTTCTTCTATGTCATTTAATATTGTGATTCTGTCATATGCATATACATATTTATATTAATTGTAACTACTTAACAAACAGTACCTAAATAAAATTCTGCTTTGTTGACCCATGTAGGAATTCTGTGGCTCAATTTTTTTTCCTATTACTTGTTTTTTTCTTTTTTCGAATATGCACATTCTATAATGTAAAAAAATGTATTACACTAAAGATAAAGTTTGAAAGATCAATTACCTTATTCTCTTCTATATCTTTATCTTTAATTTGTTTATGAATAATGTGTATGCTTCGGGGGAGGGAGGGATATCGTTGCAAAACATGTGTTCAGCCTACCCGCATACTCTATGGCTCATGTACTTCAAAGCACTGGAGCACCCCCCTCCCCACACACCTAAATGAGCCTTTTGAATAATTAAAGTTCAATGTAATAAAACAAAACAAAAAAAAACCTATTTTGTTTAATTTGGTTTAAAAATATGAAGCATAGTGTTTATTTAATAAATTCGACAACATTTTTCAATTTTAACCCAAAGTATCTCTTAAAGAGATATTGAAAATCCCATTCCTATTCATTAAAATATCCCAAAGGACAAAATAATATAAATTTAGCAATATGTATTTTTATAAATTGATAAATGCCGAAGATAAAATATCGAAGAAAGACATCAAGCATTAGTGGTCTTGTTTTTGGTTCATCTAATTTCGCAATTCCTGCAATATATTTTCATTAATTTGGTAATCTAACAGATTAGATTCAATTTCGTTGTTACTATTTACTTAAGGGTAAATGAATAATGAAAACCACTTCAAAACGATTGCATATGCTGCTATCGCATTTATTAAGAAATTGATGATTTTATTTGAGATTAAGATTAATATTTCTTCAAGAAATACAAATAAAAAATTTCAGTATTTTTCTATTCCTACTATTATATGGTTCACAAACACGCATTCCTCCTATATATATATTTATATACATATATATACATATATACATATATATATATACATACATATATATATATATATACATATATATATATATATATATATACATATATACATATACATATATACATATACATATATACATATATATATATATATACATATATACATATATATATATATATATATACATATATATACATATATACATATACATATATATATATATATATATATATATATATATATACATAAATATATATATATATCTTGTTCAAATTTTCAAACGTTAATAAAAATACTTTTTTTTATTCGTTCACTCATGTTCAAATGCATTTTTTTAAACTTGTAGTGGATGATACTTGATGTTAATACAGTTTTTTCAAATATCAATTAATGAATTAAATTTAATTAATGAATAAACAGTAACAAGCAAAAATGATAGTCCAACACCATTTATAAAAAGTAAAATCACTCGTTGTGTCCCTGAATCGCAATGCATAGAACGTTGGACTTCTAATTTAAAGGGAGTGGGCTCGAACCTGCATGGGATGACATAATATCTGAGAATGTGACATAAGAATGAATAAATAGTAACAAAGAAAAATAATAGTCCAACACCATATATAGAAAGGAAAATCGCTGTTTATTTGACCTCTTAATTTTGTGACTCTGTCATATGTGTATACATACATTTATATTAATTGTAATTATTTGATAAAAAATAACTATAAAATAAAATTTTTTTGTTGAGACCTAAGTAGGAATTCATTTTAAAGTTTTTTTATTATATTACTTGTTTATTTTAAAGTATAAAGTAAGATTAAGGATTTCTAATTTCCAAATTTATTCATCTGAACATTTACCTTATTTATTCGAATCTAAGCTACCATCGATTCTAAGCCACACCCCAAATTCTTAATAAGTTTTTGTGAAAAATATTGCAGAATGGTTTATTGATATCCAATTTTATAAAATTCAAATAATTTTAAATTGAGAACTAAAATAAAAATTAAATAGTTGATTACCTTACCTGTATTTAAAATTTTTGAATACATTCATGAACCTGTAATTGCTCTAATTACATCAAATGGCTGATAATACCCAACCCAAACAAGGACAGTTGGGATCTTTAACATGATGCATAAACATACGACATGGACGTTGTCGATTTTTTGCATCATGAAAATCCACCGACTTGGTCTGGAGTCGGACACGCAAACTTGGGCGTACAAGGCCAGTACCTCCATCCAGCTGGCTTTGAGATACGTAGGCTGTTCAATAAGTAATAAGACTAATTTTTCTGCCACAAAACCACTCATCGGAATGTTAATTTCGGTGGCATAAGAAAAGTCTGTTGTCTGTATTAACGAAAGCTACCGTTAGATTGCGTGTACGGACTCGTATTCTTGAGTATCACGTGATCGAACTGAAGCCTGTTTGTGGGCGCCTACGAGACGTGCACAGTTGTCAAAATGGAAGAAAAATCTGCAAAAATCAGCATCGAAGACCTTTGATATGATACGGTATGATTAAAGGCTGGAACAGGAAGGCAACATTATCTTAAAACGCTTTATCACAGTAGACGAAGCTTGGTTGTATTACTATGATCCAACCATAAAACAACAAAGCAGTGAATGGAAACATCCCCCCATCTTCACCTACTCTCAAGAAATCAAAAACTGTGAAACCTGCAGGTAAATTTATGATCATATGTTTTTATTATGAAGGAATTGTGTATCAACACGATGTCGAACCCGGTACTACCGTAAACAACTCGTGCTACTCGAATGTCCGGCGAACAATGGTACAGTACGTTAAGAGGAAACGCCCATTGCTTCGAAATGGCTTCCTGTTGCACCATGACAGGAATATTGCTCTTGTTGCATACTCTATGTTTCGCAGCAGAACAACGTAGAGATTTTACCACACCCTCCATCCAGTCCTGATAGAACTCCATGCGATGTCTGGCTGTTTCCTCAACTTAAGAAACCATTACGAGGCAAACGTTTTGCTAGCAACAAAGCATGTGTAAAGGCTGTGTAGGTGGTTTTGAAACAGCTCTCACAAAATGGACTTTTACATGTTTTTAAGAAGTGGACTGAACTTTGAGATAAATGCATGACGTACCACGGAAGTTATTTTGAAAAAAAAACATGCAAATGATGATGATTAAAGGTATTCTGTTGTTTTTTATAATTTGAGTCTTATTACTTATTGAACAGCCTCCGTATTAGTGACCTTTTTATTTGGACCTAAAGGTTCAGTCACCACTCAACCAATAAATTGCTAAACCAGGGGTATTCAACCTTTTTTCCCCTCTAGGTTGCATACATATGGCAGATATTGCACGCGGACTGCAACATGAGGATTAATGGAAAAAACTTTATAAGGCAAGGCAATGTTTATCTGACACTTATAATGTGGAAAATTGGTCAAATATTAAAACTCATTTTTTTGTTTTTAATACTATACGGATCTCCATCAAAAACACACGCCGAATTTTTTTGGAGGGGGGGGTATGCATTTTTTACTGAGTTGTGAAGTAGATTCGTTTTCCGCACACCCATGACCCATTGCCATTGTTGTACAAACAAAGCTGCTATATCGTTTGATATTTTGTCTTTTCATAAAACCTCTCTTATTTTTTTTCCAAATAATTTATTAAGAGCAGAGTGGCAGCAAAAGTTTTTGTCTGAATTCCAGACTGAAATCAGTATTATTTCTTTTTATAATTTAAACTTAACTTTACCTATAAAATATCACTACTCCAGTTCAGTTCTCTATTTCACTGTTATTTGTTATCACTACATGTAACAGTTACTAATAAATATACAAACAAACTCTTGCACTTCATAACCATGTGACATCAACAGCAAATTTGGTAGATTTGATTGATTGATTAATAGAATTTCTAGCTAAATTTTTAATCCTTTTTCTTAAATAACTGAATTTCTTAATGCAATGGGCCATGAACGAGGAAACCGAAAAGCCTGGTGGGACACATGCTGCCCGCGAGCTGCCAGTTGAGTATCTCTGCTCTAAGCACTATGCCGCATTTCTAATAAGGGGAGCATAACAAAGAAATTTTTTCCCACCATTAATAAGAGACTATCATGTCATAATTTTTACACTAACTACAAATTAACCCAATTTCTCACTGGTCACGGTAATTTCAAAAGCTACCTGAACAAATTTAATTTAGCTCCTTCATCTTTCTGTGACTGTAATATTGGTGGCGAGGAAAACGTAGAACATGTGATCCTTCTGTGTTCCAAGTATGTCAGAGAGAGAAAGATCATAAGACTGGCGTTCAAGAGACTTAACATTAATTGGCCACTGAATTTTCACCAATTTCTTTCCACCAGAAGTGCTTTCAATAATTTCTGTAAATTTGTTGTAACTGTTTGTAATCCTTCTTAACTTCTTTTTTTTAATTGTTTATTTCCCTTGAATGTGTGTTTAATACTTACTTCTGTAAGCCCCGTGAGATACTTTGTGGTGCACGGGGATTTTATAATGGTTTTCAATAAAAAAAAAAAAATTCCAGAACCCGGAAAAATGTTGAGCATACTTTGTGCTTGTTCCCCTTTTACAACGTGACACATCGACTTCTCTTAATTGGTCTTTGCACCTGAATTGGGACAGCTTCTGGGCTTCAGTTCATCGCTGTTCTACTACCTGCATGTAATCGATCCTCAATCCATTTACTCTGGCTAAAAATGGAATTCTACATTTTCCGCGCATTAAGAAGAAGAAACGGCAGAAAGAAAATTTATGGCTACATGATTATCGGAAAATTTACTTTTTCACTCCACTGAGCATTGCTTTATGGAAATAACTTGATTTATAAATAGTTCTGTCTATAAATAGTAACTGGAAAGACTTCTTTAAAAAAAATTA